CCCGCGCACAGAATCACTTCTTTGCTTGCAAACACGTGTACAGTCCGATTATTTTTGATAAATTCCACGCCCACTGCGCGCTTCGTGCTAGAATCTATCAGGATTTTTGTCACCATGCTCCGAAGAGTCATATGGAGATTGTTGCGATTACGTATGGGATGCAAATATGCCCTATTACTGCTCATGCGAGTGCCGTTCATGATCGTAGTTTGCACATATGAGAATCCTATCATGTTTTTTCCATTGTAATCTACATGCGGATATCCCAGTTCCTCACTAGCTTCTAGGAAGGCTTCTGCTAACGGGGTATGAAATCGTGGGTAAGTGATATGTACTGGTCCATCGGTGCCATGATAAATAGTATCCGACTTCAGCTCCGGAATATTCATTGTTTCCAATTTTTTAAAATACCTAAGAACGTCCTTGTATGCCCAACCATCGTTCCCCATTTCTGCCCAACGATCAAAATCTTCAGCTCTTCCTCTAGTAGCTACCATAGTGTTTATAGCACTGCTGCCACCGACTACTTTTCCCTTTGACCAAAGGCATATATTACCATTCATGCCACGACAGTATTTGTTGGATGGCTTAGTTTCGTATCCCCAATTGATATTATGATCCAAAGATAGGTAGGGAGAGATTACAGGAATGTCCATGAAAAGATTCTCGTGGGATCCGGCTTCGATCAGCAATACTTTATTCTGAGAAATTTCGCTCAGCCTCGCTGCTATTGTAGCGCCAGCCGTACCAGCGCCAATTATTACAAAATCAAATGTGTCTCCAAATTGCGGCGTGGTATCTATTATTTCTTGATTTAAATAATGTTGATTCTGCTTCAAATAGATCTCTCTATTAACAGCTTGTTCTCGTAATTTTGATAATTTTGAGTCGCTACTGTCATGGTCGTGAAGACAATTATAGTATGAATGTGTAATGGATATTCCATTTAATGGTTTGATCACAGTATTAATATTGAGAACAAAAAGGAGAATCGATATTTTGTTTAACATGGTTGAATATTAACTGATTTTTTTAATCGTCGTGTTAATGTAATTGTTAATGAAATAAAATGTAACAGTAGAATGTTTTCTTGGATGGTCAACGTGCATACCTGTTACACTTGAAATCCATACTTTACTGTATGTGCGACAATGGCAAGAACTCAATAAAGTTTAAATAGTTTTTTATTATCTTTATATGCATATTTTTATTGGCTGGGATCTCTCCACTCAGCTAGTCTTACATTTAATTTTTCATACACGACGTCAGTATAGATAGATATAGAAATACGCGGTTATAGTGCAGTCTAGTGCGTTTTATAGAAATGTTTTTTTTTTAAATTATTTAATATGTTAATTAAATAACTCGTATTGCATTTTTAATTGAAATAAAACCGAGCTTACTCGGAAGTACTTTTTAATTTTTATTTTGAAGCAGAACCTCATATTTTTATGGACATTCTTGTGATATATATTTTATTTCATATATAGAGAAGCCCACAAAAATGTCCTCATAAAATTTTTATGATTTTGTGATGTTAAAATCTAGATCAAAATAGATAACACGAATTTTTTATTCGTGCCTACATGCACTTTTAGGAAGAAAAACAACAATTTTGAAAAAAATAATTTTTTTTTTAAGTAAATGTTGTCGGAACTATCAAGTATAGAAAAAAATTTTTAAAGAATTGGAATGGTTTCATGTAATATTATCATGTAATGTTACGCATGTAAGACTACATTGTAATAATGTTCTCAAATTTTTCAAAAATATTATTTATGATGCGATGATGAAATATTTTATCTCTTCCGTTATTAAGAGATATAGGTAAATTCCTTTCTTAAAGTGCAACTTTTTGTTTATAAAAAATGTGTATAAAGATACATTATAGTATATTATGCAAAGTACACGTGCTGCCAGATAGATTTTTGTTAATGTGTTTCTCTAATGGATTTATCGACGTACATATGTATTTATGAAATAATACGTTACATTATAGCTAACGTAATCATTTCCTAAGTTAATACGTATATACGTTTTAAAAAAGTTATATACTTATTGTATTTTTATAAATATTGCATTTTTTATACATAAATGTACACGTGTCATGCATTACATAACAAAAAAAACATTCGATAACTGCACTTATTTATATACCTGCTACTTTTACTGTAGTCTGTTTTTGCTTTCGGTTTTATTGCGCACTAACGTGCACATGTTCTAACAATATCCGTCTGTTCATTCGTGAAATTCACTATTCACTATGGCCCGTATTCAGAACACGTTAACAATGATGTTTGAGCATTAACATGTCTAAACTATGGTTTGTGTATAGAATTTCAGAGATAAAAGTGCGCATTTATCGATAAAAGCGTCTTTTGAATATATTATTTAAAGAATAATTTTTTTTGTTATTATATAAGACTTTTGCAAGTTATTAATGAAAATGACTATAAATAGAATAAAACAGTTACGTTTTACGATGTATGATAATAATGTCATTTGATATATAAAAAAGGAAATAGAGAATGTCTTTCTACTCTAACCAAGTGGTAGTATCTTTAATTACCCTTAAAAGTAGTAATAATGTTACAGAATTGCATCAATTAAAATAAAATTTATATGCATTATACAATTTAATCCAACCCAATTTTTTCATACTAACACATTTTGTGTTCTTCTATTTTACGATTCTCTAAAATGGAACCTTACGGTTTTGCGGTCATAAAATTCTTTTATAAATAGCACATTTAAATCAGTGTTATAATTTTTGGATTTTTAAAGAAAATAAACTACAAGTAACACAAAATGCTACATGAATACAAATTGAAACATTAAATTTAATTTAATTAATGTTAATTTTTTTTTATCTGTCGACGAAACAATAAATACACAAGCTAGGAATATGTAATTATAGAATAAGGAATAAATATTAAAACATATCAACTGAGGAATAAAAGTATAATAATCAAAATAATTATCAATAATTATCATATATCTTTCTCTGCCTTGAAAATGATAAAGATTTTTTTTAAGATATGCTAAAATAATACATTAACCGCAAACTTTTGGCAGCCGCTTATGAATATTTGCATTAAAATATTTTTTACTTTTTATAATTTACAAAAAAATTAATTAATTAATTTGAAAATGTAATCAGAATTAACGTTATCAAACTGTTCAAATTTATTTTTATAACCATTTCTATAATCCTTTCATTTTTTAGATTTTATAAAGTAAATCAACAAATTTGATATTTTTAAATATAATTACTTTTCAAAAAATACATCACAAATAATACGAAATTTACGTGTTTATCGTTACCACATAATAAAATAAAATGCTATTAAGAAGTAATACAATACATATTGTGTTTTACTTTAAAAAATGACATACTTATTAGGTTATTTTTATATAACTTTGTTTTTGTCACAATTTTTCTTGTTTGTTATCTTCTTTGATCATATCTGCTGCTTTTTCGGCAATCATATAAACAGGTAGATTTATGTGCGCCGATACAATTTCAGGCATAATGGAAGCATCCACTACTCGTAATCCTTCAATACCGATCACCTACAAAAAGTTGCGTTTGAACTCACAAAGTAAAGTCATATTGCTTATTATATTCCACATATGTATTCTAATATATTTTTCAAAAAAACATATATCAGAATAAAAATACCTTTAATCTGGGATCGACGACAGCAGTTGGGTCTCCCCGAGGTCCCATTTTACAAGTGCCGGAAGGATGAAACACTGTGGAAGACGATATCCTTATCATGCATTCCCAATAAGCATCAGAGTCATACTCATGCTTGTCGCATTCCACATTAGTCATGTTTAATAACTGAGAATTAAACGCTTGCATCACCTTTGTTTGACCAATTTTTAACGCAGCTCTAATTCCGGCGATCATTGTGTTGACGTCGTCTGAATCATTGAAATAATTTGGTACGATCTTTGGTTTCACATTGACGTTATTAGCCAACAACGTTATTCTACCACGACTTTTTGGTTTTAACAATACTGGCACAACAGTCCAACTGTGGTATTCACCATATTTGAGATAGAGAGATAGAGGATCTTTCAAATTTAGAACAATTGGACTAATAAAATTTATTGGTTGAATACCAGAAAACAATAATTCGATGTCTGGTAGACCACTACGTTTATCTGGATGTTTTGCGTTGATATAAGCGAGGCTCTCGGCCAAACCCGGACTTGTCCATGGTCCCGTTTGATTTATAAAAAACATGTACGAATTAATAGGATTGGACAATTCAGATGATGTTAAACTTATCGATGCATTTACTATCCAATACAGTCCAATGTAGAGTAGATGGTCCATGAGATTCTCGCCGACTGGCGCATTTTGGATGACTTTAATCTCTTGCTCAGTAAGGTGTTTCTCTGGTCCGATACCAGATAGCATCAACAATTGCGGCGATCCGATAGCACCCGCGCACAGAATTACTTCTTTGCTTGCAAACACGTGTACAGTCCGATTATTTTTGATAAATTCCACGCCCACTGCGTGCTTCGTGCTATTTATCAGGATTTTTGTCACCATGCTC